AATACAACATTTGTAATTTATTTTATCAACTTTCCTTCTGACGATGCTGTCTGTGTTGAGCGCTCAGTGAATCTGCGTTCGACTACTCCGCCTAGGCTGCACTGTCAAGCGCAGATCCACTGAGTGCTCCACACAGACAGCATAGTCAGAAGGAAGAGCGCAGGGCACCTCCCCCACCCTCATTCAGATCTGGCGTTTGGAATTATTTTGGTTTTCATGTGACGTATGACCCTGAAGGTAAGCGAGTCATGGACTAAAGTAAAACAGTATGTTGGATGTGCCATGCAATGCTCAATTACATGGGTGGGAACTAGTGTGTTAGCGCAGTTAGCTCGTTAACGTGTTGGCCGTCTAGCCCCATGCACGGGGCGATCGGCGGTAGCTCGTTAACAGAGATTTGCCGTGTTGTGGTACTAAGGTCATTTCAACGAGATTAACCTGAAAGCACTAGTGGGAACACAACGAATATGACTGCACATTTACGCCGACATCATCCTAGTGCAAAGACAAAAACAACAAGCATGCTACTAACTTTAGCCGAGTCATTTAGACAGCTGTTAGCACATGATTCTCCTTATGCTGCTGAGAATATAGCCCAGAAGAAGCGGATAGTATAGCTTTTATTTTGGAAAGAGACATTTCTCTGTAATAAACTCTCTTTTCCAAAGATGAGTGATTCCTCAATCAGATACAGGGCTTGCAATATCGCTAGCCTGACATCCTGGGGCTAGCGATTTTTTCAGTCGGGCTACCAAAATCTTTCTCTTCCCTGCCCGTCGGGCTATTGTAGGAAAAATATATGTCAATGCTTTTGCATTCTTTCAGAAATGTAGCTGGGTAATTATGTCATTGGCATCGGTGAGCCACTGTCAATATGTGACATATTGAAATCGCGTTTGAATTTGCGCTTGTTTCTTTGCTTTCACTTTGCAATTGTGCGAACTGTGTATAGAGAGCGACAGCACTGATCTGTGAGTGATGAAAATTTGTGCACCAATTCCTCTGACATCGTCTTATTAATCGTTAGCTTACTATGCAAACATGACAAGTGAAATCTCCCGCAGCAGGCTTAAACATGTGAGAGGTTGATCGCGCAGAGAATCGCTGAGCTTATGTGAGTGAGTGTGTAAAAGCATTTCAGTTCTGCTGAGCCAAACAAGATGTGCCGTTGCTCACAAGTAAAATGTGAAATAATCAGCAGCTCGTTTTTAAATATTTATTTCCCATAATAAGTTCAACAGGGTAGATGTACTTAAGGAACATGAGACTTTTTCAGATAAATAAAGGCAAATATTGCAAACTACACAAAAGGCAGCCGCTAAAGCGTTTAAGTTTCAAAATAGAACAAACGAAACAGACTAAATTGTCAATTCCACTTAGAAACAAAATATAAATTCTAAAAATAAATCTTAGTTTGTTTTACAGAAGAACAGACAAAACTGACTAACTTTTGTCAATATCAAATAAACTGAGAACTAAAAGGAAATTCTCAATCTCTCCTTGTTGTATAGCTTAGCTTTTCAAACAGTTTTAACAGTTACTTTAGTCTGACAAAAGCCGAATGACGAATTAGCGCTTCCAGTCAGAGACTGAGGCTACGTCCACACGTACACGGGTATTTTTGAAAACGGAGATTTTCCGTTTTCGTTTTAAAAAATAATCCCGTCCACACATAAAGGCAGAAATGAAGGAAAACGCTGCTATGAACATGCCAAAGCAGCAGGTGGCGCTAGATTCCTAACCGTGCAGAAATGTTGGCCAATCAGAAGTCTAGAAGCCTCGGTGGGAAAAAGTAAACAAAGCTGCGGCATAGAAGCAGAACCGAGTCGTATGTGTGGAGGGACAGTAACTGTGTGTATATGTAAGCATTTAAACACTGCAGAGAGTAGAATTAACAGTAACAGTATTGTAGAAATTCATTTCACCGAAACAATAACGTGGCGCACAGTGTGACGCATGCACCAGTTTATTGTATTTCCAGACTTGCTTTCAGCACAATTTACAGTGCACGCTACTCTGTTTTTTGTCAGACTTGAAATAGCCGAAATACCTTCACACTACGGAACTTCTTTGGCTCTTCCGTTCGACAATCTCTCCGGCATTGGAACCATCATCTGTTTTCTCTTCGGTCACGCTCGGTTGATTTTCCTCCATTATGCGCTGGCTCCATTACCCGCTGGCTGCTTCCCAAACAAACACACGTGCGGCTTGGCACTTGTGCTGTATGTAGCAAGTCACGCGACGTGACGCTGCGGCTGTGATTGGTTCAGCTCTGCGCTACGGAATTTGGATCGGCTGACCTTTTTTTTTTTTTTTTTTTTTTTTTTTTTAAGAGGACAAGAGCGGCGAGGTCTATCGCGATAGCTTAATTTCTCTATCGAGTAAAAGTTATATCGCGATACATATCGTTATCGTTCTATCGCCCAGCTCTACTGTCACATGGTCTGTACCCAACAGTTTGGCCAAGGTGGACTATGATGCTTCAGTTATTCCAACCAAAGAGATCGCCCTGGAACTACAGACCTTGGGATACAGCGTGGAGTCTGTGGTGCAGATCAGGGTGGATGGTATGCACTGCCAGTCCTGTGTGCAGTCCATTCAGGGACAGATCGGGGAGCTGCAGGGGGTTTCACATATTCAGGTGTCTCTTCAGGACAAAGCAGCGCTGATTGTTTTTCAGCCTCTTCTAGTCACACATGAAGAGCTGAGAGACAAAATTGAGGACATGGGCTTTGATACTGCTTTGTTATCTGAGGACCCATCAGTAGAAGATTTAAGTTTCTGGCAGAAAAAGGAGGTGGATGCCTCCACCCAGACTGTAACCATTTTGATTGGAGGGATGACTTGCAGCTCTTGTGTGCAGACAATAGAAGGGAGGATCTCTCAGATGACTGGAGTGCGGTTCATAGCGGTGTCCCTGGAGGCGGAAAAGGGAACAATAACCTTTGATCCCTATTTAACAGAGCCAGAGCAGCTCAGGGCAGCTATTGAGGACATGGGCTTTGACGCCTCACTTAAAGGTAGGTAACAAAAATAAATGTTTGCTTAATGAAGCTTTTAAAAAATATATTATTTTAGGATTATTTCAGTTTTCTTTTTCAGTGTGTCAAATCTTAATAAATAGTGAGGGTGACAACTGACTGAACATCCAGGGAACAGTTAGCATTTGTTTTTGCCATCCTGTTTTTCTTTAACATCTTACTTGAGCTCCGCAGCACTTGGTCCAGATCACAACCTAAAGATCCCAAAACTTCTCCAACATAAAGGGACACAAACACTCAGGAACTAGATACCTTACCCATTAGTTCACATGGTAGCAGGTGTTAGCTTGACTCCAGCTGATCAGGCTTGGACAAGAAGTTGTGCATTTTAATTTATTTTGGGTAGAATTTGGCACAGGTTGGTGCATTTTTTCCCTATCCCTATCTTTCCATTTCTGAGTTTGTACATCATTTCCCCAAATCCTCTCATCTGGTCTCAGTGCCTCTCACCAGAGATGCAAGAACAGTAGCACAGCTGGATCATCTGACCAATTTTTAATTTGTTATGGCCCACTGCTGTATTGGCTGATCTCAGGTGTCAGGGCAAGACAGAAACAAGAGGTAAAAAGTAAAAGTCTACATTTTATGCAATATAATAATAATAATAATAATAATAATAATAATAATAATAATAATAATAATTATTATTATTATTATTATTATTAAAGGCATACACAGACCAATGGGATGAACATGAAAAACAACTCTCATGCCTCAGTGGCACCTCATCTCTTCATCTGGTATTTCTGTCAGGCAAGGAGTGAGTTGGGAACTCAAGTATCTTTGAACTAGTTTTTACACCCGAGGTATAAAAGCACTCATTGTTTGATGTCCTTGGAGGGGTTTGCTTTCATTTAGGAAATGTCTGCCATTAACCGTAAAATCGTGTACATGCTATCTAAAGGGTTTCTTAGAAGAGGTATGTTGTTTAGAGTAAACCAGAAACTCAACGGTTACTCTGGGAACCAGACAACTGTACTCCTCAGTGAAACTCTGAGAGCCCTTATCCTTACCAGGGCTTTAATTGCAGAAACAGCCTGCCAAGATGAGGGATTAATGCAGGCAGATTATGAACAAATTCTTTAATTTCTCTTTATCTTGCTCAGCTCTCAGTGTCAGGTTTTATTGGCCTCTATTGGCCTCTTATTGGGATAGAAGTTATATGTCATGTGGTTGTATATCATATGCCAGTGAGCTGTAAAAAAGTCTATCCAAATTTCTCAAACTAAGCAAATGCTTGGTTATTTTCTCTTCTGCATTATCTGTTTAGCAGAAGGTGTGGGAGAAGATTGTGGATTTAAAGTAAAAAAAATAAAATAAATCCAGCTTGCTTTAGAAATGCCATTCATGCTCGTTTCCAATTCTGTGCTTTGAAGCTATATGAGAATTAAACAATCAAAAATCATTCCTGTTTACTTTGTGCGCCTTATATTTCCAGTACAACAGGGAATCATGCCACCTGCAGATGTTCTCTGACGACCGAGTTGTTAGTTCCTACCATGTTATCCAATCCATTAATCCATTTGTTTCACTGTGAAGGCATACAATGTTTTAAAGAGTTCAAGCAAACAAGTAATTTATGTTCCTATTGCTTTAAAGTTTGGAGATGACCCATGGAAAATAAGGCTTTTTCCTAATTTGTGTGAACCTGACCGTTGACCTTGAAGCATTACATACTAAAGTTTTATATCTTTACCCTTGTCTTCTATAAGTTGTGAAAGTTTGACATTTTAAGATATATTCATGCATGCGTGATTTTGCAAAACTTTATGGCGTCACTGTGATGCCTCTCCAGGCCTTTTCACAGGATATATTACTTGATATTATTCCTTGAAGTGTTTTTTCCAAGGTCAACTTTGACCTTAAACAATAAATGTCAATGTTAAATACTTAGCCAACCTAGGTACTCATGTCCCACAGGGCCTAGTGTATTGCTGTGAAATCTGAAAAATTATGGGTGATATAAAGATTTTACTAACTTTCACATCTGGTATGACCTTGACTTTGACCGATTTTCTTGAAAATTTAATCACCTTGAGCTGTTATTGGTATCTATTGGTTATTGCTATCTACCATCACACAAAATTCGAAAACTCTGGTTGCCACACTGCTAACAAACAGACAAAAAAAATGAATGAAAGAGATTATATCCTCCCTCCCTTCAGGAAGAGAATAGGATGAGTTTTTAAAATTTCTAGTTGGACTATGGTGATTGAAGATTCTAAGTTGAGCCTCATAAATCTGTAGAGCTACAAACTTATATGGCGCCTCCATATTTTTTTGTCCTTTCAGAACCTATAAAGAGTGTTCAGAGTCATGAAAAGTCCCAGCCTGTAAGCTTTGGACTTTCTGACATGTCGACAAACAGGCCTGTAGTCAGCAATGGGACGGGTTCACAGGCACCATCTGCAAGTTCGCCTGAGATAAAAGCACAGAAATGCTTCATCTGCGTTACGGGGATGACCTGTGCCTCCTGTGTGTCCAACATCGAGAGGAACCTGCTCAAACACAGAGGTGAGCGACTTCCAGGGATGAGGCATTTGAACTGAGATGAAGATTGTTGATAAAGTGTACTGTGTTTGTTAACCAGGAATCTTCTCAGTGTTGGTGTCGCTAATGGCCGGTAAGGCAGAGGTGAAGTATGATTCACATGTCCTGGATGCTACTGCAGTGACTGAGCTCATCAAAGACTTGGGCTTTGGTGCCAAAGTGATTGAGGATAATGCAGTAGCACATGGAAAGCTGGACCTCACTGTAAGTCTGCGGGACACCATATAATGCAGAATTTTGTGCAAATTCCACATCACATGTATTTCACATGCAGATAACAGGCATGACGTGCGCATCATGTGTCCACAACATCGAGTCCAAGCTCAACTTAACCAGAGGGATCCTCATGGCTTCGGTCGCACTGGCAACCAACAAAGCTCAGGTTGAGTTTGACCCAGAGGTGCTCGGACCTCGGGATATTATCAAGCTCATCCAGGTGTTTATCACAGGACTTTTAAAAGCTATCTTAAACCTACAATTTTTTACACATGCAATTTCACACCTTGGAGTTTCTCCTCATTTCAGGGTCTTGGATTTGAGGCCAGGCTGGCTACATGGCAGCGTCCCCAGCAAACCATGTGGAAGTCAACCTGACCGCGTAGCTACTCATGCAGCAAGGTGGTTCCCCTCTCTTCCTAATCTGTCTTGGGTGTGTGAGGGCTCAGAGAAGCACTTCCAGTTCATTAAATGCCTCTCACTTCATACCCCATCATTCAAAGTTGTTAAGAATACATCACACTAAGTGTGCATTTATGTCTCATAGTGGTGCATTGTACATACTAGGAGTACACTGCTGCTGCTTAGTGTAGTCTAGACCGCGGTCAGCTCCTCGACTAGATGGATGAGGTCCCGATGATACCGAGATTTTTAATTTTGATCATTTAGAGACAAAAAACCTCCATGAGGCTTGCATATTTCTGGTTCATGCTCCAAGTCACGCACATATAAAATTAAAATAAATAAGATGTAATGTTAATGGAACACCTTGAAAACCCATCAAATGTCAATGAGAAAGAAATCATGCTGGAACAAGAAGATGTCACAGCGTTAGACAGAAATGAAAATGATCATCCTACATCCCAAAAATCAAAGTAAAAAAATTACTATTAAATTTTACTTGATAACTAAATCAAAACTAATGCACGAGGACAAAAACGATGGTTGACTGCACTGACACTTTTATTAGCAAATAAAAAAACAAAAACAATCATTTTCACTTAGTTATTGAATGTGTATATGATCTGTTTTAATAAGTTATTTATTTTCATATTGTGAAATAGCCTAAAAAACAGACTAAGCATTCTAACTTTGTGCTATTCAGTCAGTCCCATACATGAACATGGACACACACTTGATCTTGTTTTATCTCATAGTTCTTCTGTTTGTTTCTGTTTTTAACGTAGAGATTTGTGATGCTGTGTTTTCTGACCACAGTCCTGTGATGCTTCAAGTTCCTCTTGCCCGTACCTCAGTTAAACCGCGCTGCTGCTCGCCGCTGTCGTATTTTTGACCCGTCCACTGCTGAGCAGTTTTTAACAGTTTTTAACCAGAACTGTAAAATCCCGGAGCTTTTGTGCAGCCAGACTGAGGAACTGAGCTCATGGTTTTATTCCACCTACCAGATTGCTTTGGACACTGTGGCTCCGTTAAGAACCAGGCAGCCTAAAACTAAATCTGACCCCTGGCTGAAGGCTGTCAGACGCAAGTGCTGTTGAGCTGAGCGTGAATGGAAACAAGCTACAAGTGTCATTCCAGATGCTAAAGGACTGTTGGCATCAATATCAAAAAACTGTAAAAGATACCAAAAGACAACACTTATCTGACATTATTTCATCAAACTGTCGCAACCTGCATGTTTTATTTAAAACCATTAACTCTGTTCTTAGTGCACCACATACTGACTGCAGCCTGTAAACGTTTTTTTAAACACTTTTTTATTGAGAAGGTCTCCTCCACCAGGGTTCAAATCTCTTGGCAGCCCTACTGAGACCCCCAATGTGTATTTAGATACCTTGACACAGTACGTTAAACCAGCTGTGACAAACCTGGAGGTCAAAGTGAACTCTGACCTGAAGCTTGTCAGCCAGATTAAGGCAGTGGTAAAATCAAGCTTCTTTCAGCTCAGGCAGCTGATAAAATAAAGACATTTATTTCACAGCAGCACTTTGAGACAGTTATCCACGCCTTTGTTAGCACTCGGCTGGATTACTGTAATGCACTTTATATAGGGATCAGTGCTTCATACGTTACTCGTTTACAGTGGCGTGTCCAGCGGAGTGGCCTTGGGGGGCAGAGGCCACCCCCCCAACCAGACTGGCCACCCCAGGTGCCACCCCGAAGCTAAAACAATAAAATTTAATGAAATATCAAATGTACGATTATGGCTTCACAGTGAAGCTCAGATGTCTGAGGGTAAGTGAATGCAGCACCGGCTTCTGCACTATGAGCATCATGTTAGCAAAGGTAGGAGAGCCAAGCACGAAAGACGGCACCACAGAAAACGTTTTTTCAGCGAAAGATTAACAAGTTAACATAGCTGGACTAGCCATCGGACATTTGCACAGTGGGCTGATGACTTTTTTTTTTTTTTTTTTTTGTAATGGCATGAACAATGAGAGGTGGTGGATTGGCCAGATGCTGGCCGATGTGTAAAAATAACTCAGTTGTTTGGTGGTGGCTATGGCGGGGCTTCCACAGAGGCAACAGATGGATGAGGGAAGGGGAGGCAGGAGGAGCAGAGACCTGAGGCGGCCGCCGGTTCGAGTGTCAGGTGAACTGAACTTGAGGTAAGAAGTTATGACCTGCAGTCTATCTGGGTCAGATATAAACCAAGTTTAGGTGGAGTTTATTTTCGTTGTGCTGACTTTTTACAGTCAGTTACAATAACTCGTACTGCGTGAGCTAGCATGACGGAGTTTCTATACAGCTGTTCGGTTGCTATGATGTTACTGATAGTGAACTTTATTTTATTCATAAGGTTAGTTAGTAGAGTTGCCAACGGCTCCTTAAAAAGTGGAATGGTCCCTCATTCAGAGAAAATATTACGTGTTTCGTATTGAGCTGAGAAGAGATGCAGTTTGTCCCGTACTTTAGCTAGAATGGGAAAAGACACAAAGCTGGAGTTATTCTGTATTTACGCTGCACAGCTGCCTCTTCTCTTATCCCCCCCCCCTCCCTCCCTCCCTCTTCTGTTGCTACTTTAATCATGAAACTGATCAATGATCAGCTGATCGTCTCTCTTGTTTATTTATCTCCCACTTTGCGCCAGAAACAGGAAACCAGCGGATGTCGCGCTAAACAACAGCAGCACGTTTAATCAGCTGTTGTTAGAATTTATTTTAGATTAATTTCTAGTATCAGCTGATGTTTGCTGGAGCCACAGCTGTAAAGCTGCTGGTCATGATATCGGTTTGTATATGTGGTGAGAGGGAAACATGAAGATGAAACCAGGAGATGTCCTTACTGAATCATCAGAGCAGAACAGTGATGGAGAAACAGGTTTACCTTTTAGGTGACATGAATGAGTTGAAGGGAAGTTATGAACTGTTTCTGAGAGACAAATAACACCAGCATCCTTTTTCTAAGTAGCTGACAGCTGGTAACTGTGCAGGGGCGGGTCTAGCAAAGTGTTGCCAGGGGGCAGGTAGGGCATTAACAGGGAGAGGGGGTCACAAGGAAATACTTTTCTTTCTTATTCTCATTTCAAATATTTAGCTTTTATTAAATAATTATCTGAATCTTGCGAACAAATTTTTTATCTGACGTAAAATGTATAGAAATCATACATATACCAAAAAGACAGTGTACATCGCTGTCACAACAGCGTTTGTTTTCATTCAAAGGCTTTATGGCTTTAATACCTGGTGGGCTGGTCTGTAGTGAAAATGCCCAATTTTTGTCCCAGTCCAGCCCTGCAGGTTAATACTGGCAGTGTCACCATGCCAGCTGACTGTATTTCATCATCAGCCAGTGTTGTTCTTTATACATCAATATTACCAAAGTTTACCATAAGGCAGCATATAAAGTATTTACTTACTTTCAGGTGTTATTCAAATGTTAGTCTTTTCAGTTGTTTCCACACTTTTTTCCTGTTTCAAAATCAAACACCAGTTTGTGAGAAGATTATCTTCTTTTTTTAATAGGCATTGGTTTTGCATTGGCTAATTTGCCAATTGTATGTTAAAATGTTCGTATTTTAATATTAAAAAATGTTTTTACCCAAAACATATGTGCACTACATGTCAGTAAAAATACTATGCAAATATTGATGTCCTTGACTGCTGAATAAACACTGACTGATTGTGTCTCTTGTACTTTTTATCAACGCAGTATCTAAAAACTTTGCACCGTAGTGGTTAAAATCTCATTCTAATAAGAGTTAAAAGCGCATTTGGTTATTAGGTTTACAAGATTATTGAATTATGGTTAACGGTTGGTAGAATTTTTTTTAAACATTATCTGCCAATTACATCTGGCACCCTTCTCCAAATCTGTGCCCCTACCTGGCCCCCTAACAAAAATTTTCTAGACACGCCACTGTTAAGGCCTGACTGGTGGCATTGGTGCCCATTGCTTTACTGTGCTGTTGGGTGTGTATGTGGGCTATCCCTTGTACCTGACATTTGACTGGGCATCACTGTGTTGCTATGGCATGATCCTGGTAGTTGTTGTTAATAAAACAATAACAAATTCAAATTCAAACATTGCTGCATTCTTCTGTCACTGAGGATTCCAAACCTGCACTCAGTCTCCTCATTACTTTGGTACTGAACAGACAAACCTTGGAGCTCCTGCAAACTTTATTCACAAACTGCAACTATTTTACACAAATCTGCGACTGACAACAAGCACAGAGACTTCAAACAATCACTGAAGTAAGGACTGAAAGATTTACTTTTAAACAATAATGATTAAGACCTTTTTCATAAGGTTGTTTTCCCTTGATTGCCAGCTGTTACTGTTTTTATCTTCATATCTTTCATATTTGTCCACCTAAACAATGCTTTAATACAGTTTGAGAAGTTTGATATGAATTTATCCAACTGACTTGAAAATGAAACTGACAACTGTCCTGTAATCTTACACAGAGAAACCAAATCCTGCGTCTTTGCCTTGACAGATGCCTAAAATGGCTCGAGCTGTGGTAAGTTACCCTTCACTGTGTCTGTTTCTAAACATTAAATCGTGTGAATTTTTAAAGAAAAATCCAACAACAACAACAATAATATGTAACAGAGCAAAACGTCAGATGACTTGAATGTTCCTCTGCAACACGAGATCCCTTTGGCTCAAAGTCTGCCTCCTCCACAGGCAAAGGAGAAGCTCCCACACTCATCCAGTGCAGACCGTTGTGCTCTGGACAATGAAGTTCCCGCTTTCATGTTCAGACCTATCAGTGCACCTGCATGTGAGCTCCCAAGTCCACCACCTGCTGATGCCAGCTTTCATTCAAAGGACACAAACAAGATCATTCATCCAGATTTGAAAAATGATCGTTCATCCCTGGATGATGAAGTGGCGTTTTTCATGTGTCCTACTGATGTTCCTCTGCCTCCGAGACCTCCACCCACTGCAGAGTTACGTCTCTGCAGAAAGCGAAGATATTCTGCTGTTTTTTCTGTGGAGGATGAAGAGGAACATTTGATGCCTAAACGCATGAGGCTGATGAGTTCTGATGTTCCAGTTTCTTCAGTTCCTCCACCTGCTGATGACAGCTTTCATTCAAAGGACACAGACAAGATCATGCATCCAGATTTTAAATATGATTGTTCATCCCTGGATGATGATTTGGCCTTTTTAATGTCTCCTCTGCCTCTGACACCTCCACCCATTGCAGAGTTAGGTCTGGGCAGAAAGCGCAGATATTCAAGCGTTTTTTCTGTGGAGGATGAAGAGGAACCTTTGCCTCAGCCTAAACGCATGAGGCTGATGACTTGGGATGTCTCTAAGTCTCCAGCTGCTGAAAAGAAGTATGTTTGCTTTCCGTGTCCTGAAGATAAGAGGTCTGAGTTACCTCTCAGCTCCCCCCAAGGCCATCCACCATCACCGGTCAATAGTAATGACACTGACCAGTGTACCATTCTGCTGCCTCCTGAAATCCCAGTACCTCCAAGTCCTGCCCCTGTTGGAGTTCTAGAAACTGTTGATTTTCCTTGTGTTGATAATTAAATACGTGTTTGTAATAAATTTTTGAGCAAATACATGTTGAAATGATTCAGTTGCTTATGATGGTTATAATTATCCAAACAGTATTGTTCCTAAGAAGATCTTTACTTTTTCTACTTATTTTCTCCATGAACTATTTTGATGTCTATTTTGAAGATCCACTCATATCGTGACAGTATGCTTATTCTCAGTAGAGTGTATAGCCACATCTGAAGAAAGAATAAATTAAAGTCACTCATTAACAACTTACCACATACGCCGGAGCTGAATTCAAGATGTAAGCAGACGTTTCACAGATATCTTGGTTGTCTTTCCATTTCCTACAC